AGCAGCTCGACGCTGTGCTCTTTCGCTGCCAGCAGCAGCAGAGCGGCSACAGCTACAAGCTTTCAGCTGCGCTGGCATTCCGCTTATTCGTCTCTGGTACGTTGTCGTCTGTGCAGGCAAGCGGCGCAGTCAGGCGCTTGAGTTTTTCCGTGTGCACTTCTAAACTTTAATTCTCACCAACAGAAAAAAAAATCAAAAGAAAAGAAAAAAAGCAAACAAGCAAGAATAATAACAATAAAATTAAAATAACTGGACTCGGCAAACTTGGCCAAAACGAATGAAACGCACAGAAAAAACGTTAAAATATATTGTTTTTATTGTTTAACAACGTCAAATTGTGCAAATAAATACAAAACCGAAATTCAACAACAAAAGTAAAACAAGCAATAAAACAAATAAACGCCATCTATTTTTCAACTTTCGCTGTAAATAAAACTCAATTGCATTTCCGTTCTCAATAACTAAACAAATAATTACAATAATTGCAATAATAATAATAGAAATTAACGAAATTCTATAAAAAAAAAGAAATGTTTTAAAAAGCAAAGGGTAACGAAATTGTTTAAAATATACACAAAAAATTATATAAAAAATGTAATTTGTGGCTGTAAAAATAAACAACAAATAACAAATTTTATATTTTTATTTTTGACAAAAATAAACTTTTTTTTATTATGCGTGAATTTGACAACGACAAAAAGAATGAAAATAAAACACAAGCACACATACAAATATATATACATACATCAATTATATATTTGTATATATACATGTGTGTGTGTGTCAAAAAGATTATCAAAAATAAATAAAAATAAAGAAAATGTTCATAATTTCTGTTCAATTTAAAGAGAGAAAAAGGAAAAAAAAACAAGTGCGCACGTTTGTTACACGCGGCAGCGAAAGCGAAAAACAATAACATCGACACAAGACCAGCGGCTCGTAAAGCAATGCATATTAATTAATAAACAATTACAAAAATATTATGCCAAAAAACGAAAAGTCTGCAAAAAAAAACTTTTACACAACACTCGCGCACCTAACCTACAAAACAAATGCATTGCTGCGGTCGGCGCTGCTGCAGCGGCAGTTGCAAGCGCARCAACAACAACAACGATGACAATTTTTATTGCAATCTGCGTTTCATTGCGGCGCTGGCGTTGACGTTGACGACGCGCGACCCCCACAACGCAACGCACGATCTGTCTGCCGCTCTCTGTTTCGTTTTCTTTTGCTCTCTCTCCCACTCTCTTTTGCGAGCACTGACAGCGCTCTCTCTGTAGAGTTCATTTCATTTTGTTTTGCGTTTGTTTTATTTATTTTGGCTATTTGGCATTTCGTTTTGTTTTTGGTTTAGGCTGAGGGTGGGGACAGCGCAGGAGGCGTAGCTGCATCTGCGTTTGCATTTGCAATTACATAAAAATGCTGAGCGAGTTAATTTGTTGATGAAATTTAATTGAATTGCAGCTTAATTAGCATTTAGCATCGGCTTGTCAATAGACTCACATACACACAGACTGTGTGTGTAAGTATGTGTGTATGTTTATGAATTTAGACGCCTACCTATATGTTGATTACACAATTTGCAACGGTGTGTGCGTGTGTGTGTTGTGGCCGAAATTTGCGTGTCTCGTCTCTCCGCTGTTTATAGTCTAGTTAATTCAGCTTCTATTAAATACATACCCACAAATTCGTATATATGAATATATATGTGTGTGTTTGTGTGTTTGTTGCTGCCTCTTTTGCCTACTGCTTTTTATTTTCATTCAATTTAATACCCATTGCCTTTTATGTGCGCGCACACATGCACGCATTTTTCATACACACACACACACGCATACGAAAAAAAAAAAAAACAAAATGTTCGTCAAAAGCAATTACTGACATTTTACGTTGAGTTGAGTTTCACATGATGCTGCTCCGTTATTGCTCTGCAATTGAAATCAACAGCAGCGGCAGAGACAGCGACTGCGACAGTGTCAGTAGCAGAGGCAGCGGCATCGGCAGAGAGAGCCATACAGCATCGTCGCAGCTTCAGTCAGGCAGAATTCATTTGTTTTACACATATATATTCTTTTCTTTTTGTTCTTCTTCTCTCTCTTTCACTCCTCTGTGACACCGTGTGTGTGTCGTCTCCTTGTATCTGAGCGTTTCGCCTCAGTTTGTTACACAATAAAATTGTTGCTTTAATTTAGTTGAATCAACTATAATACTTCATTCATCTATCTGTCGCTATGTCGTATTCTTAAATACATATACACACATACGTTTATTTATTTATTTTATATTCAATTTGCCATTACCAATTGACATTAACTGCATTACTAATGCACTTCTAAGTGATTATTGTTGTTGCGGCTATTTACACTTTACCCTCATCTTATTTAGACGCGCTCTTCCGATCTGCCCCCTCTCTTTACTCGCGCTCTCTTCGTCGCTCACAAGCCGAAAAGTGTGCCGCTGAGTGTTTGCAGTTTTTGTGAGTGCATTTGTTTGTACACGTGCATGTGTGTGTCAGTGCAGCCGAAGAGAGAACAACTGAGCGAGAGAGACGCACTAACATCACGCGATCAATTGATACACTGTCTCGACTTTGATTTGGACCTGTGTGTGTGTGTGAGTGCATGAGCCTGTGCATGTGTGTTTGTGTTCGTTGAGTATGTTACACAGAGTTCAAGAGTTTAGATGCCCTCTCGCCTTTTCTTGCTCTTATCAGCATTGCTTGAGGTGTTTGCTTTCGTCACAGCACATTTTAACAGGCCGACAAAGCTTCAATTAAAAGCTCAAAGGCTTAGACTTAATTGATTTTAAGCTTTGTTGCTTTTCACAACACATTTTTTTTTTTTTTTTGGCAATTTTTAATGAAAATGATGTAAGAGCTGAAAACGTGAGTTCAAACCGGCTGCAACCGGCAAAAAGTACATTAAAAAAATAAAAGGGGAAGAGGAAGAATGTAGATGAAGCAATTATTTAAGTGTGTTCTGCTGCTGTGTGTTCGTTTTGCTTGTTAGCTTTGCGGCTATTGTAGCAAACGCTTTTGTCCCATTGATTGCCTTCCGGCATAGCTCGCTCTCACTCTCTCTACCCCACTCTCTCACTCTCTGTGTATATATACTAAATGCAGGTGTGCGTGTGTGTGTGTGTGTGTGTGCATCATTTGCTGTACAGCAAATTTTCCATAATTTTCCATTGTCAACAAAACGCAACTTGACATTGAATCATCTCTGCTCTATATCAATGCCAGAGCTATCAGAACCCAGACCCATGGCGTACCCATCGAAACCCCAACGTATCTCTCATACTGCGTAGTTCCCATTATTTCACCACTGAGACGAGCCCCCAAAAAACGAAAATTCCGTAAGCTTGTTGACTTTGACTTTTAAAAGTTAATAATAATAAGTGTTTGTTGTTGTCTTGAATCGTATATTTTCTGCACTTCATCAAGTTCCAGTTTCTACGTTTATCTTTAGCTTGTGCTCGACGGGGGGTGGGGGGGGTCTGAAGGTTGGTTTGTTGCTTGTCCGAAATTCACGACGTTTTCACGTGTCTAAGGCTATAATGCTCATACGCTGTGCGCATGCACAGGCCCAACAGCTGAGTTGGAGCCGATTGTACCGTTACTTATCTTATCAACAAGCATTTGCCGGCAAAGAGAGCGAGTGCGAATTAGACCTCGAATGCCAGATACACTCAAAAGCCACTGAATTTCCATGCTTCAATCACGGGCGCAACGTATGCTTGTTGCAACAATCTCGAGTTGAGCATATATAGAATACATGATATTTACTTGTGTATATATATTAATATTAATATATTGTACTGTTGCCATGATCTGTTCCGTTATCAATCGGCTGTGTAACGCTTTAATTAGCCTGTGAGACACACCCACCAAGTGACGCTTATCGCACGACGTCGTCGACGTTGTCTCGTCTTGGCCCCGTTGAGAGATAAGTCTGTAGATAGAGGGAAGGACAGGGGTAGGAGAGAAGTTTTTTTTTTTTGGCAAGTGGGTTTTGTAAGACATATCCATTTCCGGCACGCTCTTATCGTTTATATATATAAAAACAAGATATAGCACATGAAATTTTCCAAAACATTTGCAGCTCACAAAAAAAAAAAAAAAAAAAAAAAAAAAAATGGCTCATTAATAGCAAACAATTATTTATAACTAGGTTTTTTTTTTATAATATACATACTAA